AATATTCCATTGATATATTGATAAATGAGGTCTAAATTATAAGAAAATGCATTTTATACGAAAACTTGAAGGGATAGGTAAAAAATGGTATAATACAATTTGATAGACAATTTAATTGTGCATCTGATTCTCCTAAAATATACAGGGCATTCCATTTAAATTAAAGAAGTTATTGCCGTTTGAAGCTATATTAAAATAAATTTTTAACACTCTGTATAAGGTAGTATTTATTATTATTGCAACAATAACTGATCAATAAATAAACTTCATTAAATATTTAATTATTAAAAACATCGATCCTTGGAGAAATGAAAGCTTTAAAATTTTTACTGCAATTTCACAAAATTGAAAATATTTCAAAAACGGTAAGGTTTAAGTATAATAAACCTTAATCAAATTTACCTTTATTTTAATCGTAGAAACTAAAAATGTAATAATATATAGGGTGTTCCATTTAAAAAAATACAACTTTGATATTTTTTATTTATTTGGGACACTCTGTATCTTGTAAAAATATTTTTAAATTGTAGCTCTAATAGTCCTTCAACGAACCCCGAACTTACAATTTGTAAAAATCTCATCGTTTAGCTACAATACTCCGTGTCGTATGTGGTGAACAACCCTGTATAACTTCAAACTTATATGAGAAATGGCATTGCTGGTCATTTCCGAGGCTAACTGGACGCCGTTTTTTTATAGATTTTTCTCTAGATATGTGTGTTTCGTTTTATTGTTTTTTTTTCAACAGTATAGTGTTGTGTTAAAAGTTACCTACTCCCGAAAAAGCCCTAACAAAGCGAAAAACAGGGTCGCTGAAATGTTTGGGAACGGTCGATTATTAGGTAAAATATACAAGGTACCACAAAAAGTTAAATACAAAAATTGTAGGGTTTTTAAATGTCTATTAGCCAGTAGTAAATTTAAGTATACAGAGTCGGACATAAAGTTGTGGCGCATCGAAATTTATTTTTTTTTTAAATGCAATCCCTTGTATATTGTTGCATATTTCAATTCTTCCTTGAAGTTTTCATTTTGAAATGTTAAATGAAAATTTTGTAATTTCCAGATCTATAAATGCTAACTGGAAAACTAGTGTCAAACATTATTAAGTACCACAGTTTTCGCAAAATGGCATAACTTTTATATTGAACTTTTTGCGGTACCTCGTATATTTTACCTAGTAATCGACCGTTCCCATACATATGAGCGACCCTGTATAATATATACAACATATTTTCTCTTTACCGTTTTTCAAATAAGTCCAAAATAACCGAGTTATTTTGAAAATATCAAAAAAATATATACATTTTTGCCTAAATTTTGAGAACCACACTGTTGTTTTTTCTGTTTTCTTTCCTCTAAATTTAATCTACTACCTATGTTGCCATATTATCACGATATTATATGTATTTTAAATGAAAATTAAGGGAAAATAAATACAACATTTCCAACATTTTTTTTGCGAAAAAACTTCAGACATGTTCCTGGGTTTGAAATATACAACCCTTAAAAATATATGCATTTATTTAAGACCCACCCTGTATTTTTGAAGGATCTTATATTTAATAATATCTAAAGATACATAGTAAACAAAAACATACAGAGTGATGCTCTATGGAGCACGTGCTATAATTACATTCGATTTGCTATCGAGTTTTCTAGGAAATCCTACAAAATAAATATAAAAAAATATTTTATTGGGTATTTATTAGTGTAATAAGATAATGTGTCTAATTAATGTCATTTTTAGTATCTATATATGTAGAATAACTTGTTCTGAAGGTTTTTCAAATAGAAGGTTAACAATTTTTAATGAATTTTTTAATTTATCTCGTAATTATATCTATATTTTCTTTATTAGAGATTAGAGGTATGTTGTTCCTACATAAAATATATATTTATTTTGTTTTTTTTTTAATATATATATATAGTTAATATCAAATAAACTTTTAGTCAACGTGATTAAGCTTGACCGGCACAGCGTTGCCATCTTTTACATATTTTCTTTTAATCAAAATATTTTAGGAAACAAATATAAATTAATTATAAATATATAAACAGTTATTAATTACATCAATAAAACTCGCCTTCTTAGCGGCCCTTAAGCTTTCCCGTTCAAAATATTCTAATAAAGTTGCGATGAGTTTTTTACGGCTATTAAGCTATCTTGTACACTTTGCACTAAAAGTGGCAATAAATAAATATGGCAACTTGTACCTAATTTGTACCTACTTTTTTTGATTTTTTAAAACTAAAAGAATATAATGTAAAAATGCAAAATTAAGAAAAAGAACAATAATCTAAATTAAAAAATTGATTCCACATATTAACAGAGTATTTTTTTATCTAGATTATTATTTTAATTGAATATGATTATATTCAATAAGAATTTTAATAACCACCAACATTTATTGACAACGTAAAATAAAAGAAGAAATTATTAAGTCGACCCTACGCCATATTTTTACACGTTTTGAATAAAATTAGAATGGCACTGATAAACCGGAATTTAAGTCGGCCATTTTTGGTCCCTGTCGCGCTCTACCTAAGTGTTTAGGGTTCCGTACCCAAATTCCGTCCATCCGTCTGTCACAAAGCTCTATCTTATGAACCTTTATAGCTAGACAGTTGGAACTTTGACAGATAATGTATCTATGCTGCCGCTGTAAGAACAAATACTAAAAACAGAATTAAATAAATGTTTATAAATAAAAAAAGTACTTTCGCTAAACATTATCTTTTAAGTAAGAATGCATTCTTTCAAAATCATCGAACAACTAAATCATCTCCATAGATCCAGTGACGTACCGTGACTTTGAATTTTGAGACCAAAAACTGACAAATAATTTGTCAAAAAAATCATATTACAGCTATATGTTTTATTTTGCATAAAAGTGTTAACTAATAAGTTAGAATAATTATATTTCTTTCCTAACTAAGTGGTTTTATCGCTAAATTTAACTAATACAACACAAATCTTAAATACGTAGACTATTATAACAACAAATATATCGTAAAAGACTATTTTGGTAGCATTCTGAACGAGGATTCAAGTTAAACTTTTTAGAATATAATTTAAAGGAAAAATGAACCTGCTCAGATGCTTGTTCCGAGTAAAATCCTAGAGCTCTATGATTTGCTTTTATAAACTCTGGTACATGATGCAGAATTGCATGAATCTTTGGAGTTATCTTAATACCTAAGTTGAGTATTTCCAATCTAAATTGTTCGATGTCATGTTCAAAATGTTTGTTTGGTGCTTGACCAAAACAACTCGAAACTACTTGATTGAATGCAGAAAACACTGCAATATATTTATTTCCTAAAAAAAAGATGTTTAGGTTTTTGCTTGTCAAAACTTTGAATAGGATTCTTTACCGGGCGATATCGTCTTCAAAATATCCACTTTTTTTAAAAGTTGTCTGGCGTTATTTCCGTTACATTTTCCATAATGATCTAGTTTCAATCCTGCTTTTTTATCCATTCTGTTGCAACATTGGTATTCTCCAATTCAAGACAATCAAATAGTTTTTGAACCACACCTAACAAAAGGTGAAGCTCAGGAGGGGGAATATACTTTAAGACAGGTGTTTCTTCGTCGCCAATGATTAAAGGTATGTTTATACAGTTTTCTAAAAAATAATTGCCCTTTTTTTATATGGTTCATTGAACAACAGTTTAAAAAATACAAAAAAAAATATTTCAAACAAAAACGCTTACTAAAATCTTTGGCTTTTGTTATATTTCCTCCAGATTGTTGCCATAAATTTGTATTTTCTGTAATACTTTTTATAGTTCTGAATGATCCTTTAATTTCCATTTCCTTTACATTTACATCATACCATGGGCAAGTGTGAGTGGATGAATTTGACTGAAGACCAAGGAGAATCATAATAAGCTTAAAGTCAGCGGCAAAAGTATAGGAACAAATTCCACATATGGACTGCAGATCTAACGTCTCAAAGAGGCTTTTAATGTTAGCATAAGATTCAGACAACTTTGGTCCTGAGCCAATTATGAATAGTTTATTAATTCCAGCACTTTTATATTTCTTGAAATATTCAATATCATTTTCAGGGAGCACATTCAGACAAACTTTAAGTGATCCACCACCACCATCAATGCCAATTTTTACATGAAAATCTTCAGATAATTCTCTAATTTCCAAAATATATGATAGCACCAGATAAATCTGAGCAATATACAAAAATTAATATTAACTGAATTAACATTTTTCCTTTAAATTATTTTCTAAAAATTTTAACTTGAATTCTCGTTCAGAATGCTACCAAAATAGGCTTTAACGATGTATTTGTTGTTATAATAGTCCACGCATTTAAGATTTGTGTTGTACTTAGCTTTAGTTAAATTTAGCGACAAAACCACTTAGTTAGGGAAGAATTACAATTATTCTAACTTATTAGTTAACATCTTTATGCAAAATAAAACAAATAGCTGTAATATGATTTTTTTGGCAAATTATTGTTTCAGTTTTTGGTCTCAAAATTCAAAGTCACGGTACGTCACTGGATCTATGAAAATGATTTAGTTGTTCGATGATTTTGAAAGAACGCATTATGGCCATTAAAAAATTACTAATTTTACAATTTATATATTTTTTATTTTGAATCATATAAAAACCGAACAGTGTAGATAATGAATGGTACGGAACCATTCGTGCGCGAGTCCGACTCGCACTTAATAAATTTTTTGATATGCTGCTTCCTCAATCGTTTTATTCAAAGGATTTCTCTATACTACTTGCATCAAATATTGACCTGGTCCACCCTGTATCTGTCCCTATACATAACCTCTACAGGAGAAAGCTGCTTAATAGAGTATCTTAATGAACTGGAGAGATTTTTGTTCGGGTACCGCACGCTCTTATCGTTGTTGTAACGTCAATTTTAACGTCAGAGGTACTACGGTACGGCCGTCTGTCCGTGCTAAACCTACTCGTTCGTTGCATGTATTTAGAATAAGATTAAAAAGAGACAAAAATGCCGGCCTACGTACCTCCGTAGTAGTACCGCGGCCGCCGCCATTATAATTATTAGAAAGTTCCTTATTTATTATTTTATAAAAGAACAAAATAAATATTTATGGGTGCACTGTTGGAAATTTACAGGGAGATTCAAACGATTGATTAATAATAACGTGTATTAGAATAAAAGTTGTTTATTTTTAAGAAAACTTAATTTAGCTACTTATTATTAACTACTTAAATTTAACATTTTTACCTTTTCCTTGTTGTCAGTAGTGATAAATAAATGCAGGAACAAATCAAAGACTTACATGGTTTTGGTCTTGGTTTTGCAGGGCTCAGTCTTGGTCTTCCTGCTTTTTTAATAGATTTGTACTAGGGTCACTTTCTACAAAGGAAATATTTAAATAAATAGTATTTTGAGTAATTTAATTAAAATCACAATTCGTCAAATTTCATGAGTATCTGTATGAAAAAAAGTCGAAAATCTGACAAATTCTGGCTATTTTTACAAGTTTTTAAGGCTCTTAAAAAAATAGTAAACATGATTGTAAAATTATGAAAATCTCAGAATTTGTAGAGAATTTTATGTAGATTCAGAATATTTACGATTTTATAGCTTTAAGTTTGTTGGCTTTGTAAGAAACTGCATTTTTCAAACCCTGGTTTTTGAGCGATTTTTCATGGTAGTTAAATATTACTTACAGGTCATACTGAACTCGTAAGGCTAAAATGGTCTATATTTTAGTGTTCTGCGTCTTTTAATTAATAAATAACAGTAAAAAAATAAAAATAAACTAAAAAAAATAACAGTAGTTCTATTAAAATTGGTGACCTTGCCAAAATCGGCAAATTTCGAAAAAAAATCGAAAAATTGCACATTTTTGGCTACTTTTCAAGTCCCTTAGCAGAATAGTAAATATCATTGGCGTAACTACAGGGGAGCCCGGGGTGCAGCCCCCCCCAGGTACTGCAGGGTACACCCCAGGTAAATCCTGAATTATGACTCTGGGCTACGTATTAATTTTTATTTGCTTGATATGCAGTAAAAATTACGTTTTCTAGTTTTGTTTAGTTAATATTATTCTTGGAAAATTTATTATTCTTGAACCTTGTAATTAAATATTCTGTTTTTTTTTTAATTTTCTTGGGATTTAGGTTCGGGAAAACTCTGATTAAGTTTTCATTTGGGTTTTCATATTTTTATT